AATAGTTGGTGTGCAAGGAAATGTAACATATTATTTACAAATTGTTGAGGCTAAAGTTCATCCACTTCAGTCTCACATTCACAAACATCTCAATTCCATAATCAAGTCAAAATCAACTCACAAACATACTCAAATCTTATCCCTATAAACTTTGAGTCTATGATAACTCATCAAGTTCCAATTCCTTGAATCATCAACAAGCAACCATGCATTAAGTTCAAGAGTCTTAAGATTACTAATGAGTCATATTTTATCTCTAGATACAAGTTTCATCAAGTATTCAATTTCAGTTTTAAGTTCAGGTTATATTTTTCAATACATCAAGAGCCACAAATCAAGTCATGGGTGATCAAGCCACAACAAGAATTAATCATAAAAATCAAATACTAACTTTGAAATGGAAAATCATATGCATTAACATCACAAAATACATAAGATTCAGTTTATTACATCTAATACCAATAAATAAGAATAGTCCTCCATGGTGGAGGGTTTTACAAATTGAAGAGATAAGGAAAAAATTGAAACCAAAGACAGATGCACGCCCTTTCCCAAGGTTCTTGGTAGTTGCTTCATGTTCTAATTGCGCCTCCCCTTTGCATCTACACCCCTAATTTGTGACCCATATTCCTCCTTAACCCCAAAAAGGGGGAAAACCACCATGGATGAAGGAGGAAACCTAAGCAGGAGAGGGAAAGCTTCCCAAGACTCCAAACAACCTCCAAAAGCATTTCTCAAGCACCCTATGTGATTTTATTTGTGTGAGAATGAGGAATTACGAAAACCCCAGCGAAAACATGACTAAATATCACTTTCACGTATCAAAGTTGACAGACTCGCCCAACGACTTCATTCTCGCACATTAAGGTCTAAAAACTAATGTTCTCTACTTCTAACTTGTTGGGCGAGCCATTTTTGCACATAGGGACTCTAATATTATAGGTTTAGGCTGTCAAACTCACCTAACAAGCAACTAGCTCGCCTAACGACTCAACTTGGTGCCCAATTAGGCGAGCCATTTTTGCACCTAGCGACTCTAATATTGTAGGTTTAGGCTGTCAAACTCACCTAACAAGCAGCTAGCTTGCCTAACGACTCAACTTGGCGCCCAATGGTGATTTTTTGGTTGTCCGGGGGTGGTCCATGGAAAAATAACCCTACAAGAGAGTCTTTTCTTCATGTTTGCAGTCTTGGGTGTGATTCTAAAGCCCCTGAAGTGACTATTTGTCTAAAAATCATTCTTTTTTGTCCAATCATGCTTCTTTGAGTTTCAATTTGTTTTCATCCACTAGAAATGCTACCTATTTCCATATCTCACACTATTAGGGGTAAAACAAACATATATCAACTAAAACATAAAAATACATAAAAACACACTAAACTTGGGACAAAATAAAATAAAAGTTATGAAGGAGTTAATCTATTCATAAAAGTATACACTTAAAAACTCGTAAAATCACCAGTTATTCACAAAAAAACATACAAATTGAGATAAAGAACAAAAATCATCTTAATCTTTTGCAGAAACTGATCGGATAGACCTAAAAATCTCATATCAAGAATTATTTACGTGGTCTCTAATATTCAGACAGATGGACAAAGAATTAGAAAACTTAAAGAAGCAAAAAGTTTTTAGAAAAAGATTTTTAAAGAAATAATGTATTTTTTTAGATAATAAAACTCATTAATTAAAATTCTATTTATATATTTTTAATTTTTTATATTAAAATAATTTAATCTCAATATTTAAAACACTCTGTCACAAATTTTTCTAGAATCTTGTATTACAATATTTCTATTTTAATTTACTAGTGAGTAAGTATATTTGATACCTTTGTATAATTGAAAAAACAATATTAATAACAATAAAAAAACAATATTAATAACAATAATTATATAAAGAAACAGTTAATAATTACTAAATATTCTTAATGATTTATAATTGGGTTAAATATGTTTTTAGTCCCTATATTATCAAGCGATTTTGGTTTTTGTCCTTCTTTCAAAGTAAGGTACATTTTAGTCCTCCTTCTTAAGGAAACTTTGATTTTAGTCCTCCAAAATTAACACCGTTAAAAACCAGCTGATGTGGCTAACGGTGTTGTGACATATCATCTTCTTTTTTTTTCTGACACTGAGTCAATCTTCTCAGCTTTTCTGCCATGTGAATCTTTCCCGTCGTCAATGTCGTACTGCCAACACAATGTCGCGCCGACCAACCACCATGCCTCCGTCGCAAAAACCCTAGCCACCATCATACACCTCCACCATCAACATCCAGACGCGAGCAACCTCATCACACCACCACCCAACGCGAGCAGTGCCATTACGAGTTCAATCTCTCCGCCACCACTCTCCCTTCATCATCGCGAGGCCGCCATCATCCTCCAAGAAAACGCAGCAGTTCAAAACCCAAAAAATCCCAGAAAACCCAGATCCTCAAATCAGAAAACACAGCAACCCAAAAAAACCCCAAATCAAACCTAGAAACTAAGAAAATTTCTTCTTAATTTCGTTTTGGATTCCCTTCCTTATCAGCAGCAAAAATCAAATCATGACCCAAATCAACAAAATCCAAAATTGCTGGAGCATCAACTGATCCTCCAAAACTTATTAAATTCAAAATAGGTGCAGAAGTAATTGGCGAAGACAACATCTTTGGGAATAGGGGCGTTGGGCAAAATGACTGTGTTTTGGGGAGGAGTAGGGACAGGTTTGGGATGATCGTCGATCTCGACAAAGAGGATGTCAGTGGCGGAGACAGAAGCTGCCGTGGTGGCGGAGACAGAAGCTGCCGTGGTGGCGGAGGAAGGAGGGGAACTTATCGGAGCTGCCGTTCGGCCTGGCGATGAATTGGTGAACGATTTTGATTACTGCTTTCTTAGTTGATGAACTGACCGCGTGCTATTTTTCTTTGTTTTGCAGAATCAGTCATGTCGGATGACGATGTTGCCAACGGCGGTGTAGATGATCAGTATAGTGAGGAATCGACAACGAAGATCGAAGTGTTGCAACGCGAACGCCATGAATTGGTGAACGAGAACTCCACGAGGAAGGAGGAGATCAAGAAGCTGACGGCGGAGCTCGGCATTTTGCGAAGAGACGGCGTGATGAATAGCGAGAAGATCGAGGAGATGCAACGAGAGGTGGCGCAGTCGCGCGACGCGGCGAAGGCAACCGAGGTTATCGTGGCGAGGGCAGCGGACCTGGAGATAAATGTGGCGAGGCTACAACACGATTTGATATCAGAGATGGCTGCGGCGGAGGAGGCGAGGGCGGATGCTTCTGAATTGAGGAAGAATTTAGGGGAGAAGAGTCGTTGGTTGAGTCTCTGGAGAAGGAACTGACGTCTTTAAGAAAGGTGAAGGCAGAGGGTGGGGTTAGGATTAGGGATTTGGAGAGGAAGATTGGAGTTCTGGAAACCAAGGAAATTGAGGAAAGGAACAAGAGGATTAAGTTCGAGGAGGAGGAGATGCGGCGGTCGGTGCAGATCGAAGAAGGAGACGCTGACATTGGCGACACCCCCAATGGCCTCATATGCCACTCCTGACGAATCTGGTTGGAGTGGATTGTGATGGTGCCTCTATCGTTCCTGATGAGCGTTGCAGAGATTGAAAAAGGAAGGGAAACTCCGGTGGCTTCCCCGCGGCGGAAACAAGCGTCAATCACACACACGTGGCAAAAGTTAGGAAGGAAAACTGTGAACACACGTGGCCAAACGTTAGCCAGATCAACTTGTTTTTAACGCTGTTAATTTTGGAGGACTAAAATCAAAAGTTTCCTTAAGGGAAATGACTAAAATGTATCTTACTTTGAAAGAGAGACTAAAACCAAATTCGCTCGATAGTTTAGGAACTAAAAACATATTTAACCCTCTATAATACATTAAACAATTGAAATGTGTACTACTTTTAACATTTAGACACTTTTTTTCTTTTTAATTTTAAAATATAATTACAAATGTAAAATATCTTAGTCAAATTAAAAATATACATTATTATAAATAAATTATAAATATTAATATATATATATATATAGATATTACAACTGCAAGTAACACACAGATAATTTTTAATAAAAATATGTTTTATATAAAAATATTGTCACTTTGGCCTCTGGGGTTCTTACGTCTTAAATTTCAATTCAATAATAAAAGAATTGATTATCTAATTAAATGTATAAATCCCCAAAGCCTGAAAGTGTATTTTCCGCTACCAAACGCTGGAAGAAAGGCAAATAGGTAGGTTTTGAAGTGTATGCGCAAATCCAGTTTCATTAAAACAGATGTTTGATCTCACTTGTTCTTCTAACGCTTCTTTGTGTATAAGCAAACCTCACAAAGTAGGCATTGCAATGGCTTCAGGGGAGCAAAAGTCACCACCGCAAACCCAAAAGCTGCAAATTTATCCCAATACAAATTCTGGGGTCTCACCTTTCTGGAGAGGTAATTATCTATCCATTTGAAATTCCTCCACCCAAATGAAAAATAAAGTTTAAATTTTTGGTTTTTCTTTGCAGAAAAGTATGAAAGAGAGGCCAAGAGGTATTGGGATGTTTTCTACAAGCGCCACAAGGACAGGGTTAGTTTTTCTTAGTACTCGTGTTTGTGTTCTCTGTTAATGCAAATTTTGTTGCTCACTTGGTGTATCCAGTATACATGATTTCCTCTTGTTGGTGATGTCTTTTGATGTAACTGGATAACTTAACTCTAATTGTTTAATTTTCTTGGAATTTTGTTGTGTAATTTGACTTTGGTAATAATACCTTTCTTCAGTTTTTCAAAGATCGGCACTACTTGGATAAGGAATGGGGCGAGTACTTTTCTGTGAGTGAATGGAAATACCATCTTTGTTTATTTATGCAATTTGGATTGTGTTGCAATAATGGCTTAAGTGATTTTTAATTTTCAGGGAGGAGGAAAGAAAGTAATTTTGGAGGTATATATTCCTGATCATACTCTTTATGCTTCTGTGGTTTATTAGTTTGTCCTTTGTTAATGTTTAAATTACTCAGGAATTATAATGTTGAGCATACACGCATGCCACAATGTTATAATTGGATTAATGTGATTGTTATTCTGATTTAAAGTTTGGCGTGAACCATAATGTGATCGTGCAGGTAGAACCTTCCTGCATTTATTTTCTACACTTCTACTTATCACTTGTGAAATTTGTACTGGTTATTTATTGACACAGCTCATTTTTTGTCCATGATGCTCTCCATGAGGTCCTTGGTCTAGTAAGTTTCTTAACAAGTGATGGTGTGTGCTAAACAGGTTGGCTGTGGAGCTGGAAATACTATCTTTCCTGTGATAGCATCATATCCAGATGCTTTTGTGTATGCATGTGATTTCTCACCGCGAGCTGTTGAGTTGGTTAAGGTTAGAAACCTCCTTTTTGTAATCTCTATGTCCAATCATCATCTATTTCTATGTGTTTGTATGTGATTGACTTGGTTGTGTGCTTCCTTATTCAGTCTTTATCTTGTGTGTATCTTTATTCAGTCTGGGCAAGTGTTAGTAAGAAGTCTCGTATGCCGTAAAAATGACAATTTGAGCAATATAACATAATGCCTTAGGGTTTTGGGTTATATATGATATCAACTTCACTTGTATGATTTACTTGTGGTCCAATAATGGAGATCTCCCTTCTCTTTTTACCCTTTTTGAATTACTTAATAGATCTGTCAGTGTGAAAATTTCTGATCAGGTTCTAACACTCCCCTCAAGTTGGTGAATATAAATCATATGTACCAAGCTTGTTTCAAATATAATCAATTATTGGTCCCCTTAAAAACATAGTGAAATCTGTTAACTAATCATTTGAGTTAATGAACTCAGTCTTGATGTCTCTACATACATTCTTCTCTCGAATGAAATGACAATCAATCTCGATGTGTTTAGTTATTTCATGAAAGGCAAGATTAGAACTGACATGAAGAACCACCTGATTGTCACATATAAGTGTCATTTGAGTAACATCTCCAAATTGTAACTCTCTAAACAATTGCTTAAGCCAAACAAGTTCACAAGTGGTTGAGGCCATAACTTTATATTATGCTTCTGAATTAGATCTTGCCACAATACTTTGTTTCTTGCTCTTCCAAGAAATCAAGTTACCACCAATGGAGACACAATGCCTTGAGGTAGATTTTCTTCTATCAAAAGGAGATCCTGGCCAATCAATACCTGAATAGCAAACAACTTTTGTATGGTTATTGGAACCATATAACAAACCTTCTTCAGGAGATCCTTTAATGTACTTTAATATACAGATGACTCCATTCCAATGATCTTCACATGGGGAATTGAGAAATTGACTCACTACACCGACTATAAAGGAAATGTCAGGGCAAGTAATTGTAAGGTAATTTAATTACCCAACCAATCTTCTATATGGCTCAGGATCTGAAATAGACTCCCCTTGATTTGGTAGGAGTTTGGTATTAGGATCCATGGGTGTGTCAACAGGTTTTGAATTCATACCATCGTTAGATTGTGCTACCTCAATATCCAAGAAATATCTAAGTTTGCCAAGATCTTTGGTTTGAAAATGATGACAAAGGTATTGTTTCATCTGGAAGATGTCATGGTGGTCACTGCCTATATGAACAATGTCATTAACATATATTATCAAATAGACACATCCAACACTTGAGTGACGGTAAGACTGAATGATCTGCCTAATTTCGAGCCATACCAAATTGTTGAATCACGCTGCTAAATTTGCCAAACCAGGCCTTAGGAGACTGTTTTAGGCAATATAAAGATTTGCGAAGATGACATACCAATCTAGAAGACTTCACCTGAGTAACAAATCCGAGAGGTTGCTCCATATAAAGCATTTTTGACATTCAGTTGATAAAGAGACAATTGTTGAAGAGCCGTCATGGCCATAAATAAACGAACAGAAGCCATCTTTGTTTATCACTGGAGCAAACGTATCTCCATAGTCCAATCCAAAAATTTGTGTAGCTTTTGGCTACAAGACGAGCTTTGAGGTAATCAACAGTACCATCAGGACCAACTTTGATAGCAAAAACCCACTTGCAACCAACAACAAATTTCCTAGACGATAATGGGACGAGCTCCCAAGTTCCACTATTATGAAGAGCACATAGTTTGTCTAGCATGACCCGATGCCAAGTAGGATGGGCTAAAGCATTATTGATAGATTTAGAGATGGACACAGAATAAATAGACGAAAGACAGGTATAAAAGGGTGAAGATAATCTATGTTACCTCAAAGCAATATATTCTGGAGAAGGATTACGAGTAGAACGTATACCTTTAGGGAGAACAATTGAGAGGTTAGACTCAGTTGTAAGAGCCTGAGGAGACAAAATAGTTGGCACTTGAAGTGAGTCACTTGGTGGTTGTTGGGAACAATGCCTTTGACTATAAACCTAAAGGAGTGCTGGAGGAGGAGGAGAATCTAATAGTGGACTATGCACAACAAAAGGATCACAGATAATAGAAACATTAACAGTAGTAAACAGAGACACATCAGAAGAAGATGGACCCTTAAAGTAAAAAGAGAACTCATCGAAGGTAACATATGTAGAAACAAAATAACGGTTAAGAGAAGGAGAAAAACATTTGGATCCTTTTTGGGATTAAGTAAATCCTAAAAACACGCATT